CAGCCCCGCCAGTGCCCTGGTGCCCGTTGACTGCTGGGGCGTCTCCCGCAGTCCCTCTCCGCGCCCGCTGCCTCCGAGCCCAGCTGGGGTTCGGCTGGGGCCTAGCGACCCGCGATCACGGCCTGGCTGCTTCCGGGTGCCTCGAAGGGGCTCGTGTCCCACAGCTGAGGAGCATGATCAGTGACACCGAGAGGGGGAAAACTTTGGACGGGCAAACGTGATGCGGATCGGGAGAACGGATCGCGTGGCCTTTGGGCCGCACCTCGGTGGCGCTGGCTAGCAGCCGGTCCCGGCCCATGAGGGGAAGGGAAAGCAGCGACTGGAAAGGGCAGCGACTTCACGCCTCCTCTCTGCCACCTACTCCTGGCTTATAACCCTGCTGCCCGGGTCTGTCTCCGTCCCCAGCCCAGGAGCCTTGCGGGGCCGGCCAGCCCACGTGCCAAGCGGGGCCCAGTCGCACGGCTGGAGGTGCCAGGGCAGGCCAGACCCCACACGGGGACAGTTTGTGCGCTGGGACTCTGAGACGGATCAAGGGGCCAGAGGGGACCAGCAGCTGAGCGTGAGCTCCTTATAACCCTGCTGCCCGGGTCTGTCTCCGTCCCCAGCCCAGGAGCCTTGCGGGGCCGGCCAGCCCACGTGCCAAGCGGGGCCCAGTCGCACGGCTGGAGGTGCCAGGGCAGGCCAGACCCCACACGGGGACAGTTTGTGCGCTGGGACTCTGAGACGGATCAAGGGGCCAGAGGGGACCAGCAGCTGAGCGTGAGCTCCCGGTGGGTGCTGTCCAGAAGGACCCGAGAGATCTCTTCCCCCCCAACCTAGAGGGAACCACCAGCTGTTGTGAGCAGTTGGTGGTTCCTTGTGCCCCCGGTGGGGAGAGGAGACTTCTCGCGCTCCCCTGCTCCTGGGTCTCGTTTGGCCTGGGGCTGGGGGCACGGCAGGGGGGCCGGATGAAACGCCTTGGTGGGCTGGCTGCAGCCCGTGGGCCGTATCTTGCCCACCCCGGTCTAGACGGTGCTTGGCCCTGCCATGGGGGCAGGGGACTGGACTCGTGTTCCGAGAGAGGCGGAACTGGAACCCAGGGCTGGAAGATGAAGCCAAACACGTTCAGACGAGAACGGGGCGCAGGTTGTTAACCCCGGAACCAGCTCCCCCGCCGGGCGGTAGGTTCCCCAGGCCTTGACGCCTGCAGCGCATGGCCGGCTGCTTTTCTAGCAGGTGCGCTAGCCAAGCGCGAGCCCTTCCTCGCAGTACCGGGGAAAGAGGGGAGATGGGCCGGCCTCAGACGCAGCGCTTCCCAGCCTTTCCGATGCCGCAGGCCAGCAAACCCATTCACACACTTTTGGTGGAGTGGCACCATGTATTGCATATTTGCATATTCATTATTTGCATAATAAATTTGCAAATATGTAAATAAAATGATGCCACTCCGCCTAGCCCCGACCCAGCCCCTTGCTCCCCAGTGCCCAACACCCTTTGACCCCCCCATCTCTACAGTCCTTGCCAACACCCTGTGCCCCCACCCACCCTTGCACTCCCCAGAGCGAGGCTGCCCCCTCTCCAAGCGCACCCATGGGTAGAGGGGGGAGCGCGGAGCCCCGGCC